TTGCTTAGCCTACAAATAGTTTTTGAGATGAGATAAACTTCAAATTAGTTTAATGAGATGAATGAATAAGAAAGGCCAAAGGACTTTCAACAATGAAAACGTGCATAGAATAAAAATGCTCGGTTTATCCTCTGTACTCTCCGTGGCTGCTGGACATCTTTCATCATCGTGGAAAAGTTATTGACAGCTCGCCCGCTTCCAAAAGCTCTACCCCAAGTGAGACAAAATGTCTCACTTCTCCGAGTTTGTCTAGGCATCAAAAACTTTCTCGGACCACGTGACCCGAAACGCATCGGCCGCGCATAATAGTGAGGCCTAGGGACTAGGCAACCCCGTAGTGTCATCGGCATAGAATCTTAAGGGGGGAGTCTGGTTACATTTTGAGCCCAAATTTGTCACAGATTGTAAAGCGTATAAAACTCCAGCTATTTTATGTATCTTCATAGAATTTTTCATGCAAATAGACCAGCCCACAGTCTAATGTGGCATATGGTTTACATCCCATGATAAGCAAATTTGTGGTTAATTATTAACCAAGTTCTTCATGGAGGCTTTTTTCCACCAATTTCATGCCCCCATACTTTTTTTTTCTTTTCTATTTACAAAGAAACCATGATATTTCTCACAATAACACTACACACACTCCCCTACAAACCTATTGAACAGCCTCAATAGGTTTGTAGAACAGCCTTTCATAAGTAACTGAGCCAAATTTGGTAGAAAACGGATAAAACCAAAGATTAAAAATCTAAGGGGGCATAAAAAAACTCCGCGAAAATACCTTTTTGAGAAAAATGCAGCTAAAATTTGGCAAGCAAAATCAGCAGTGTAACATTCACTAAAGGAAGCTACCACTAGTAAATTAGTAAAAGTAGGCCTCATTGCAGTATCAGCACATCATTTTCTAGATATAAATCACGATTTCTATCTCTTTTTTCTCTTTCTTGCTGGTTCTGTGGCAACAATCAGTTTATTGAAAGCACCGGCACTGTATGTTGTGCCCTCCTTTTGTCGCCGTTGTTCCTCGTCTCTTTGCTTTGCTTGTCTGCGAGCAACTCTGTATTTTTTATGCTGATCCTGGATACTTTTTTCAGCCTTTATAATTCGCCCAGAGTCTCTTCTGCTGCTTTCCTTTCTGGTGTCAGCCCCAACAGCTAACCCAGCCCTTACCATGCCATTTGTGCTTTGGGCACTTAATCCACACTAATGAATTCACAGACTCATTTGCATTTTTGGGTATAAAGCCTGGAAGACAACGTGCCAATCCCCATTTCACTGGCAGCATAAACCACTCGGCGATTTACATCCTTCCCTTGCACAGTTCTAGGGCCTAAGGAATTATGTTCACCAGTACCCAGAAATTCCGTCAGACCGCAGTCATCACAAATAGCATATATGTTGCTGCTGAGGCCAAATCGGCTTGTACTTATTTCTCGAAGTTCTAGATGGCCTACAACAACAACAATAAAGAAAATAACTAAGTGATGACGACGCCGGACGAGAAAAGCAACAATATAAGCACGTTTTACGATATATACTATGAGAATTGCGAAAGTAAAAATAACTGAAAATGATGATCTCACCAGAACACATTGCGAATTTGAATGAATCCTTCTGGCAAATTCTTTGAGACTATCCATGGACACAAGACGGTATCCTTCTGGTATCTCACCTTTTGGATCTATACTTTCATCGGAAGAGCTTTCTGTGTATTCAGCACCAATTTTTCTCAGAGAAGCCGAAGCAGCAGGCGGTGGAATCTGTTCACTCACAACGTCATCTTCACCGACAAACGTGATTTCAGTAGCAGCGTTTCTCGCCAGTTCCATAGGCACTTTCTTTTGTTTTTGGACTCCCTTGAATTTTGATTTCCTTTTTTGACAATTTTTTTTCAGTACGGACTGTTTTCGTCCGATTTCTCCTCCTTTTGGCATCGCGTTGTGCGAGAGATTCACATGGAGTCAATACGAGGAGCGAAATAACACCGTGCTAAGTAAGTAAGTAAGTAAAGTCTTTATTTAAAGAGGGTAGCACCTAATAGCCAAAGGCTAATAAACTTGTGGCCCTCAAAAATGACTACTAAATGTGGCTATGCAGCCAGGCCTTTCAAGTTTGGAAATACTGAACAGGGATGGTCTTGGAAGGGACTAAAGGAACAAACGAACCATTGGACTTCATATCAGTGCAAAAAACCCCTCCAAAATGCATTTGTTTGAAACGGTTGCCATGGAAACGGAAAACAACTTTGTATACACTACGAAAGATTGAACTTTTTTTTCATTTTATGGATAATTTCTGACCTTGAAAGTGTTAATATTTTTAAGTTAAATAGTTTTTCTGTCTAAAAACGAATAAAACAAAAAAATTACCGAGTTCATAATTTAACTCAAAATTTCAACCAGACTCCCCCCTTAAGGAGCACGAAATATCTGAAAAATTCGCATCATTCATGTATATATTGAAGAAAAGGGGGCCCAAGATTGAAGCTTGAGGATAATTTGCCAATCTGACAGGTTACCGTCTATCTTGACATGTTGCTTTCGGTCAGTCAAGTAAGAACGTAGAAGTTGTAGGGCGTCTTCAGTTACACCGTACGCTTACAGCTTTGCAAGAAGCAAATTATGGCTGAGAGAGTAAAATGCTTTGAAGAGACTCGGTCAACTCGACAAAGACAGCAACCCAGTAAGTTTTACAAGTTTTTTCTTGTGTTTATTGATGTGTTTATTAACAATTATGATATCGTAGACTTGTTTCGGCATTAAATTGAGGTCAAATGGATTATGTCACTCATCTTTTCGTCAAGCCTCTCGAGGTCAAAATGTTTGTAATTCTGGTAGGGAAAATCCGGATTTTTAGATCTGTTGACATCATACAACAGTAAAAATTCATCTTCTGAAATGTCGCCATCATCGAAACTTGTCAGTAACAATTCACGAACCTTTCTAAAAGTAGCCATCGCTCTTGTATTTATTTCTGAAACTTCAACAGGAAAAGGCGCTACAACAACCCGCCGTCGCGCGAGCTTTCTTAATGCTATTTTTCGCGCCATTGTGACGGCGACCTCACCCCAAGTCCCCTCGACCAAGTCTGCCGTCGTAGAATCTCGCCGTCGTCGGATCTTAAGCTCACTATTTATTTATTTATTTATTTATTTATTATCATTTTAGTAACGGAGGTTTTAGGAAAATTAAACAATTGAGAATAAAAATTAGCGATAGCAATGAATGACTTTTCGATGACTCCATGTCATCATTTTCAAATTCGTGGGGTTCTTAATTCTGTGAGTTCATCACATAGGGAGTTGCGTGCCAACGTTTAGTTGCATGTGATTAAAAGAGAGAAAAAAACAAAACAAACAAAAAAGAAAAATACAATATGAAGTGTAAAAGGTGCTGATTATCAGGTAAATAGTTTTGCTTTGATAGAGTCAGATTGGGTGTTCAGTTTAGGTTTCTTTTCTTGATAAAGAGCATTTCTTAAATTAAGCAATCCAGCTTTCCACTGCATCTCTTCGGGATGGTAATGTGGTCACGTAGATGTTTATCCGTTTGATTGTGTACGTCGCGCAGGTGTTTGCTAATCGTCGAATGTTTTTATAATTCGTCAATGCATTGAAAACGGTGTCGGCGTGTATGGCCTACGTAATCTTCATCACACAGATCACATTTGTATTCAGACATACACAAAGCATTGCTGATTGACCAGAGGTGGTTTAGCCTCTGTAATTTTGATCTTTTGGTCGCAGAACACTGTTTATTTTCCTTCCAAGATCGGAAAGCTGTCTTCGTACATCGTCAGCTGATCTTTGATCCTTGAATAAACCGAACGAGACTGTATTTGTTTGACAAACACGAACTTGCTTTTGATCTTGTGACTTGATGACTTTTGTAGGCATACACGCCGACACCTTTTTCAACGCATTGACGAACATGAACATTCGGCGATTGGCAAACACCTGTGATCTATTAGTTATTCAGCGGCAACCTGGCCCAGTGGTCTTGGAGCTGGTTTCTCTCGTAGAAGGTGGTCAAGGTGTGGGTTTGAATCGCGATGTGGCCATTTTCGTTTTCTTTGCACATTTTTTTGAATTTAGTTTTCGTTTTTTTGTTCATATTTTTTCCCTTTGGCTTGTTTTCCTTTATTCTAACCCATGAGCCTTTACAGCTTCGCGAGATTTTTTGCGATAACGCATTTCTAGTATACGTCTTGACTGGAGTCCTGGCTCGAAGTACTGGCTCGGTATTTTGGTATCTTAATTCCCCCGCAAGTATTTTGAATATTTGTGCCAAGAAATAGGCATTTCCCGATTGCGCTGGGAACTTTTTCGGCACTTTTTTGAATTTGGAGCAGTATTTTACATTTCCAGCTCTCTTGAACACTCTTGACTTTTAAGCAGAAATTGAGCATTTTTCACCTTTTGGGCAACAATTAAGCATTTTAATTTTTTTACAATTTTCCACATGTTAAATGCAATATCTTGTCTTTGAAACGTTTTCAGTAAGCCGAGTAATTCTTTCATCACGAATTTGAATTGGCCACCTTGTCGCCTGGCTGTTGTCATGAAAATGCTCCTTTTAACCGTGGAAACAGTCCATTTTGGAAAAAAAAAACATTGATATTTCACTTCTAGTGTGGTCACTTATTAGAAAATCGAGGGTGTTCCTGATTATCAGATCGTAAGTAAGGGGTTATAGCTGATGGCAATTGCTCAATTGCGCTAAACAAGAATCCCGTCTTGTATGTCGCAGGGATCAATCTTGAACCCCCTGTTTTCTTTATTTTAAGTTATCAGTGATCCTCCCGAGGTGGTCACTCCAAGGGAGTCGGTGGCACTTTATGCAGATCAATGTAACGCATTTAGAGTTATCTGTAATAACTTGCCCCAATAATTAATTGATGTATTAAGGGGATCTCGATAAACTGTTACGTGGAGTCATCTTTAAACAAGATAACCTTCGATGTAAGTACTGCAAGTTAGTGCGAATTACCAACCATTTATATCAAATATGACCGCAAATGAAGGGTTCTGTCTTGGAGGAAATTGACGAATTTCAAAGCCTTGGCCCATCTAAAACCATCATCTCATTATGTGAATTGTCATATTGATACCATTGCGAGAAAAGCGAACAGAATTTTAGGCTTGATTATAATTATGAAGAACACGTAGAGGTTAGAACGACATTGTAACATTCAAGGTGTTGTATTGCACGATGTTGTGTTGGTCATCCTACTCGTCAAAAACTATTAAAAAATTTGGGCTACTTAATATATGTTAGCGATGAAGAGTAGATAAATTGTCTCAATATGCTTGCGAAAAAGACGCCATCCTTTTTTTCTTGTATAAGGAACTGTGTAATAATTACCAGGAAGGGATGGGCCAAAGTTGGAGGGGCCACAATGCCACAAGACAATCAACGAATTATCTCCGTTATTCTCATACGAACTGAGAACTCTTCTTGAATGTCAAATGGCAACATTTGCAGTGTCTTTAATGCTAATGCGTACGTACCTGACAGTGATTGACACCTAGCCCCTGTGTATCCAAGCTGACAGCTACAAGTATATCCATTAATCTTGTCAGTACACGATCCTCCATTTAAACAAGGATTGCTGGAACATTCGTTGATGTCTGCGGCAAAATGTCCAATATGAGAAACGACAACTTTTCATGACAATATTTTAAGATTGATTACAAGTTTGCCAAAACTATTCAGGGGATCTTGCACTAAAGATATTTCTTACTTGTTTGACACTGTGCTCCTGCGTATCCAGGCTGACAGATACAAGCATATCCGTTAACCTGGTCGGTACAAGATCCTCCGGTATTTAGGTATCTTAATTCCCCCGCAAGTATTTTGAATATTTGTGCCAAGAAGTAGGCATTTCCCGATGGTGCGTGGCACTTTTTCGGCACTTTTTTGAATTTGGAGCATTATTTTACATTTCCAGCTCTCTTGAACACTTTCTTGACTTTTGAGCAGAAATTGAGCATTTTTCACTTTTTGGGCAACAATGAAGCATTTTAATTTTTTTTAACAATTTTCCACATGTTAAATGCGATATCTTGTGTTTGAAACGTTTTCAGTAAGCCGAGGAATTCTTTTATCACGAATCTGAATAATTGGCCACCTTGTCGCCTTACTATTGTCGTGAAAATGCTCCCTTTAACCGTGGAAACAGTCCATTTTGGAAAAAAAAAACATTGATATTTCACTTCTAGTGTGGTCACTTATTAGAAAATCGAGGGGTAAAACTTTTATAAAACCAAGAATATTTATGAACATATCTGCTAGGAAATAATTAAAAACGTACGAGCATCTTTCAAGCACTATTTCGAAATTTCAAGCACTTTTTTCAAAAATTCGAGCACCATTTGTCATGATCACTTTTTTGCCATGTTTTGAGCTCGTTTTAGCGAATTTTCCAGCGCAATCGGGAAATGCCTACCAAGAAGCTGCCGCAGCCACTAACCATCTTTTAGCCGAGGTGAAGTTCCCTCTATCTGAAACTGAAGAGCACGTTGCCAAGGAGAACGTTGAATCAATAGCTCCATTTCCTAATATATGGTTTCCCGTTTTTGGTAAATATCAGGAAAAAATCATCCACCGGGGCCATATATTCACCTTTTCTTCTTATTGGCAGCATAGCTTCATGAAAGGGTGTTCCCGATTATCAAATCGCAAGTAAGGGGTTATGGCTGATGGCAATTGCTCAAGTGCGCTAAACAAGAATCCCGTCTTGTATGTCGCAGGGATCAATCTAGAACCCCCTGCTTTCTTTATTTTAGGCTATCAGTGATCCTCCCGAGGTGGTCACTCCAAGGGAGTCGGTGGCACTTTATGCAGATCAATATAACGCATTTAGAGTTATCTGTAATAACTTGCCCCAATAATCAGTTGATGTACCCTGGGGATCTCGATAAACTGTTACGTGGAGTCATCTTTAAACAAGACAACCTTCGATGTAAGTACTGCAAGTTAGTGCGAATAACCAACCATTTATATCAAATATGACCGCAAATGAAGGGTTCTGTCTTGGAGGAAATTTCAGACCAATTTCGCAGCTTTGGCCCACTTAAAACCATCATCTCTTTATGTGAATTGTCATATTGATACCATTGCGAGAAAAGTGAACAGAATTTTAGGCTTGATTATAATTATGAAGAACACGTAGAGGTTAGAACGACATTGTAACATTCAAGGTGTTGTATTGCACGATGTTGTGTTGGTCACCCTACTCGTCAAAAACTATTAAAAAATTTGGGCTACTTAATATATGTCAGCGATGAAGGGTAGTTACATTGTCTCAATATACTTTCGAAAAAGACCCCATCCTCTTTTTGTTTTATAGGAAACTGTGTAATAATTACCAAGAAGGGATGGGCCAAAGTTGGAGGGGCCACAATGCCACAAGACAATCAACGAATTATCTCCGTCATTCTCATACGAACTGAAAACTCTTCTTGAATGTCAAATAGCAACATTTGCAGTGTCCTTAATGCTAATGCGTACGTACCTGATTGACACCTAGCCCCTGCGTATCCAGGCTGACAGCTACAAGTATATCCATTAACCTGGTCAGTACACGATCCTCCGTTTAAACAAGGATTGCTGGAACATTCGTTGATGTCTGTGGCAAAATGTACAAGATGAGAAAAGACAACTTTTCATGGCAATATTTAAAGATTGATTACAAGTTTTGCCAAAACTATTCAGGGATATTACACTAAAGATATTTCTTACTTGTTTGACACTGTGCTCCTGCGTATCCAGGCTGACAGATACAAGCATATCCGCTAACCTGGTCGGTACAAGATCCTCCGGTATTTAGGTATCTTAATTCCCCTGCAAGTACTTTGAATATTTGTGCCAAGAAGTAGGCATTTCCCCATGGTGCTGACAGGTTGAAATTAATCATGTAATAAGTTCGCCTGTAAACAGGTGATGACTGAATACTGACTAAGAAAACTCATCTGAGCCGCTTTGTATTTAGCCACCCACGCAGGCGTTTTTAGGGGAGCTCGTTTTTGTAGGGAGGGATGAAAAACGAGCTCCCCTAAAAACGCCTGCGTGGGAGGCTACTTTGTATTTGACTATAACAATTAAGTTGCCAAGGAAGCTTAAAAGATATGTTTTAATTTGTCATATCTTACCTTTCTCACAGTAAATTCCAAAGAACCCATCGCTGCAGAGGCACACATAACTGTTTTCCTTGTACAGAGACACACATCTTCCATTATTTTTGCATGGAGAGCTTTCACAAGGACTCTGTGGAAAAGTGATTGGGATATTAAAAATGCTTGGAAGATATCACCGCCCTTTATACCCTATATCACGCTAATATACAAATATATAAATAACCCTAATTCTAATTTACCCTCAGCCAAAGGGGCTAATATACGTTTTGAAGACGCCCAGTCGAAACTAAAAGAGCCTTTCCTACCAAATGTCATTATTTCTATTATTTCTACTCATCGAAGAACGAAAATTCTTGAAAAAATCTTAGCAACTTCTAAGGGTAGGAAGGATTCTCCACTAGCCACTGATGCACCAGCACCTGCGGATTGTTTCAAATGCGATAAAACCAAATGTGATCTGTGCAAAAAAAAGTCCTTGTTAGAAGTACATTTTCTAACGCCCAAACTTGCAGCAAATTATTTTCTGGACAGAGCCTTTCATTTTATTTAGTCCTCCGCGAAAGATGCAACCTTTAGTACGCTGCATGGTTCTACCACTACCGAATTCCAAAATTAAGAATGCAAACACGTCAAAGTTTGATGTACAACTGGATGTTTGCAGTTTTGAATTTTGCCTTCCAGTTTGACCTTCACTGACTGTTTATAGATTTTCAACAACTCGGGCATTGCGTTGAAACTGTACTATAAATGATTTAAGAATAAACGTCCAGAGATTTCTTTCTGCAGGCACTGAGAACAAGAACCATGAAGAATTTAGAATGACGCTGTAAGTTTAAGCATAAGATCCTGGTAAAGAAGGTTAAAGGTTATGGTCGCAAAAAAGTATCAGGAGCACATCCCAAGTAATAAGAGAGGATTCGACTCTGCCACACAAAGGTCTCTTCTGATGCCAGTTAAAATGAGCTTTAGTTCGATTCGAGTCAAGCACTACATCAGCTCCAAGCTTTTGATAAAAGGGACAAAACGCACTTCAACTGTCGCTTATTGTAAATTGAAAAAGTGACAGACTTGGTTTTTTTGAAAACTGCCGAAAGAAAAAGTATACCAAGCGTCTTTATAACAGTACTTTTAAGCTAACTGATTACCTTCTCCCTGGATCTACCCTCTAGCGATGTGCCGATGATCTACGAATAACTTGAAAAGCATGGCAGGGCACTGTGAATTGAAACTTACTACAAAGGCGTAATGATGAAATTCCTGACTTGGCACAAATTTACTGGAATGGTTATATTTGTCTGAGACCACCAGATGGCATGCAAAACTGTTCGAGTTCCTCAAAGACCAAATGGCTATATTAAATGAATAGCACGCCGCATTGATGATGCACTCAAGGGAACACTCCGCAACATTCTTAACGTTAAGTGAGGCCAGCCTGTTGGAAATATTCAGTGCGTAGTTGAAGAACCCCTTGAAGTTTCCATAGTGAGCGTGTTCATGGTTGTCTCTTTTCAAGACCTTTTTGAGAATAAATCAACGAAAAGTTTACAATCTTAAATTAAAGAAATGCAAAGAAGATTTAAGTCTGAAATTGTGACTGCAAATGACTGTTGTATAAACGCTGACCTTTGTAGACTCTGTATGCTGCTTGGTCAATGTTACTACCGCAGCAAAGGCGAAAGCGATACAAACAGCCCCTATCCTCCGCTGCATTGTTTCTTCATAGACTATTCCGTCTCAGTGAGTTTAATTTATACTTCAACTTTATCTTCCGCCTTGAAATTCCGCTTTCTTTTGTTTTTACTTGCAAATTAAGAGATAAATAATGTATGTATCATTCACTTCTATTGATGTTATGTTTGAGGTAAATAGACCGTTGTGACGGTTACTGATTTTATCTTTGCATTAATCAATAATGCTCGACGCTGCTGGAAATAGCCCCTTAAAAATAGGCAAAGTTGCCAATATCGAGGGTGATATGTCAGAAAAGAGGGAATATAAAGCATCTACAAAGCGATAAATAAAAGCGTAAAGGATTTACGGCAGAGCAATGCAACTCGCTCGCTTAGCGTAGAAGTACCAGGGCCCGGTTGCATAAAACCTACACTTAAGTGCCCACTTAAGTAAGTCACTTACGAATCCGTTATGGGTACACTTACGGGTGTTGCATGAAACACACTTATAGCACTCGCGTAAGTTACTGTTTTACGTGGTAACTTACGGGCTCACTTAAAAGCACACGTAACTTTGATATAGTACTTTAAAATGACGCATTCTTTTTTTTTTTAAGCTAACCATCGGTGAGTGTAAAGAAAGTTTTAAGTCGTTTCGAACACTTTTAAGTCTCTTAAAAAAAAAAAATTTGCATGCAAACGTTATTTTTCTTCAATATCTACTGAAAATGATAGTTCTTCTTTTTTTTACAAAAGTGTACATCAGAGGTTAACAAAGCGCATTAAAACGAATTACGTGAAGAAAAATATTTTTTTCACTTTTCAGTAAAAGATCTCGTTAAATTTAGTAAAAACAGTAACGATACGGGACCTACATAGGTCCCGTAAATTTACGTGCTATTTTTCCCGTAAAAAAGTTTTATGCAACACCCGCAATTTCCGTTGCACAAACGACACTTAAGTGAGCACTTACGAAAACGTAAGTGCAGCCACTTAAGTGAATTCCTTAAGTGGACCACTTAAGTGATTTCATGCAACTGACTCAAGTTACGAGTGCACGTACGTGTACCCGTAGTTGTTACGGACGTTTTATGCAACCGGGCCCAGGTATCTAAGTTTACATCTTGGTGTTCTTTATTCTTCACAGCAGCTCATATGTCTTGTCTACAGCATCACTTAACGAATCGAATACTACAAGAACCCATCACCGCAGAGGCACACATAACTGTTTTCCTTGTACAGAGACACACATCTTCCATTACTTTTGCATGAAGAGCTCTCACAAGGACTCTGTGGAAAACTGATTGGGATATTAAAAATATGCTTGGAAGATATCACCGCACTTTATACCCTAAAGTATATCATGCTAATATACAAATATATAAATAACCCTAATTCTAATTTACCCTCAGCCAAAGGGACTAATATACGTTTTGAAGCCGCCCTCCAAACTAAAAGAGCTTTTCCTACCAAATGTCATCATTTCTATTATTTCTACTTATCGAAGAACGAAAATTCTTGAAAAAATCTTAGCAACTTCTAAGGGCAGGAAGGATTCTCCACTAGCCACTGATGCACCAGCACCTGCGGATTGTTTCAAATGCGATAAAACCAAATGTGATCTGTGCAAAAAAAAAGTCCTTGTTAGAAGTACATTTTCTAACGCCCAAACTTGCAGCAAATTATTTTCTGGACAGAGGCTTTCATTTTATTTAGTCCTCCGCGAAAGATGCAACCTTTAGTACGCTGCATGGTTCTACCACTACCGAATTCCAAAATTAAGAATGCAAACACGTCAAAGTTTGATGTACAACTGGCCCCAGTTGTTCGAAAGGTGGATAGCGCTATCCACTGGATAAATTACTATCCAAAGGATAGCGCAGTTGGTTTTCGTAATACTTATCCGCTGGATAGCGATTTATCCGGTGGATAGCGCTATCCGACTTTTGAACAACCGGGACCTGGATGTTTGCAGTTTTGAATTTTGCCTTCCAGTTTGACCTTCACTGACTGTTTATAGATTTTCAACAAATCCGACATTGCGTTGAAACTATAAATGATTTAAGAATAAACGTCCACAGATGTTTTTCTGTAGGCACTGAGATAGACTTTGAGTAGTTCTCCATTTTTCCTCAGGGATAGTAGAGCGAGCAAATCGAAACGCGAGCGCGCGTGAAAATCACCCCACGCGAGAAGTCGCCTTTTCTCGCGTGGATGATTTTTGCGCGCGCTCGCGTTTCGCTCGCTCTACTATCCCTGAGGAAAAATGGGGGACTACTCGTAGTCTAGCACTGAGAACAAGAACCATGAAGAATTGAGTATGACGCTGTAAGTTTAAGCATAAGATCCTGGTAAAGAAGGATTTCAGCCGATCAAAAGTTTATGATCGCAAAAAAAGTATCAGGAGCACATCCCAAGTAATAAGAAAGAATCCGACTCTTTCAGCGGCAAAACATAAAACAAAACTCTGATCTTTGCCACAAAGGTCTCTTCTGATGCCAGTTGAAATGAGCTTCAGTTCGATTCGAGTCAAGCACTACATCAGCTCCCAGCTTTTGACAAAAGGGACAAAACGCACTTCAACTGTCGCTTATTGTAAATTGAAAAAATGACTGACTTGGTGTTTAGAAATCTGCCGAAAGAAAAGATATTACAAGAGCCTTTATAACAGTACTTTTAAGCTAACTGATTACCTTCTCCCTGAATCTACACCCTCTAGCGACGTGTTGGTGATCTACGCATGGCAGGGCACTGTGAATTGAACTTCCAACTTTCAACTTTCCAACTTTCAACTTTATTTCATAAGACTATTAGTTACAATAGACTGGCCCGCAAAATAGCAATTGCTAATCTAGGCGGACCAGTTAAAAGAAAAATAAATTGAAAGGAAAAGAAAGGAAAGGAAAGGAAGGCAAACTACAATTTTAAGTTACAAAAAATAATATTCTATCACAGTTTTATTTCAATTACATTACATCTGAACAAGCAAACAAACAAATACTTTAATACAGAAATCACTAAACTATTAATCGAACTTTTTCAACCATTAAGGGCGTCTCAATATAGTCATCTTCTCTTTTTAAGATATCCGAAAGCAATCTGTGAAGTACTTTCCTAAATTTCTTTTTAGGAAGATCTCTAAATATATGGCAAGGCATCTCATTCCAAAGTTTTACACCAAAGCGAGACAAGGAGTTTTTGTGTATTTCCAGCTTTGAGCTTTTGACGTGAAAGTTACCTGAACTAGATTATCTTGTATAGTATGAATGAATTGTTGAGGTTTTTTCAAATAAATTGAGGAGATTTGTTGGCGAATTGTTGTTGTTAATATCGTACATTAGATTAGCCACAGTTTTATAATACATAAATGACACTGGTAATACGTCAGCGTCGATAAATAGAGGAATTGCGTGTTCACGTATATCGTAAAATACATCATGCGAAGCACTTTCTTCTGGAGAATTAAAATTTT